CGTCTGCGGTCGTTGCCAATGGGCAAATGCTTATATATCGGTCGCAAAACTTCCTCCCCGTTCTCCACTACACTTTTTATAAATAGAATTAAAAAAAATGTAAATAAACTTTATAAAACAACACAACACAAAAATTAAATGAATTTTCAAATTAGATATTAAAGTGCAAAAATAATAAGCTAAAAGCTTCTCGTTGACGTTTGCAAATACATTATTATTTTTAAAACACCCCTGTTTTTGATAGCCTTCTTGCTTAACACATACGAGTACATACACGTACAAATGTATGCAATAGCTCTGTGATAAATGTCAGTAAGAATTAGCCAGTAACGAATTGTCAAAACGCGCTCTCTGACTTTTTGCGCGATTCAGTAAAAATCGGTAACCATTGTTTCCGCCCAGCAGCTCGCCGAACACACTAATTATTGTTTGTAAAAATGCGGCCGAGGTAGCCGAGTGGTTAGCATTACGTACTGCCACTCGGAAGACTCAGGTTCAAATCCTGGTATCTTACTATCATCTAAAAACTTCCTCCGAGTCTATTTGTGACATGAAATAAAGCTCCTCATAAAAAACCATCAGCCGTTCAAACTGTAGGCTTAGTATAAACTGTAGGTCCCTTCATTTTGTTGGAACCACATCAAATTGGAGGAGGAGTTCGGCGGAAAATCGCTTAAGCGGTTACAAAGCACAGCGTCAATTATTTATTACAAATATATATATTTATATGAATATAAAAAGTAAAAACCATGAAAATTTGAAAATATTTTTGGGTTTATTGAATAACTACTTGACTACGGTTGTGTTAGGCTTGGCTTCGCCACGAGCTTAATAGTACATTCATGTATATAGATATTACTTACATGTAGGTAGGTTTATTTGCTTTGGTTCTGAAATATTTGGACTTTCATGTTCCTCGTATGAACAGAGGATGTACAATCTACAAATGTACATTAGACAAAATAGATTAACTTCAATAAATAAGTTTAAGAAAATATTAAACTATTTAATCCTGTATCCTTTTAAAAGTAATGTTTTCCGTCTGAAAATTTTAGTCAGAATTGAGTTCACTGAAAGTTAACGCAGTAATCCCTATTGCAATAAATTTGCTAAATTAACCTTTCTCAATTCTCTCGAATTTAATCCCTGTATCTCCTGTACCAAAAATTAGATCAAGATTTGTACGTATTTAGGGATTCTCATAAAATACACTTCTGATCATCTTTGAAAATACCAGCAATATGACAAAGAATAAACTTATCGAGTCATAAAAAGCAAGAGTTGGATAAGCGTCAAAAATTTGAAACAGCTCAGCCAAAAAGAACAATTAATCAGCTAAAGTATGATATTATCTGTGTTCGTTGAGAAATGCAAGTTGAATAATAACTGTTTTGTTTCTTACCGGTTAAGGGGGAACCTGGTTTAGAGGGTAAAAAAAATCGATTTTTTGAAACTTATGACATTTGATTACAAATATATTCAGAAATATTTCCACAAAATTTCAGGGTCAAATTTCTAATCGTTCCGCAGAAATGACCTCTGGGAGACAATGCGCTCAGGAGACTGATAACAGAACTTTAAACGTGATTTTCTCAAAACAGTGTTTGTTTGAAAAAGTTGTAATTGTCGCATTTTCATAACTGATACCTTTTTTACAGCTAATAGTGTAGGCGCCAAATTTTTTATAAACAGTCATAAAATAAATAATTTTATACATTTCTTCGAGTATCATAGGTTCACATAGAAGAGCAACTCCTAAGCTACAAAAAAAAAAAAGAATTTGTTTTAATATTTCAGATGAAAACTAACAAGCAAATATGAATTGTTATTGCTTAACAATATCAAATAAAGTGAAAGTAAATTTTTTTTTGCAAGATTTGTGTATCTATGACATATTTCAAAAGTACTTGAAACATTTCATACGTAAGGCAACCTAAAACACTGTGCCGAATATCATGTAATTTTCAGCGTTCTAAACCAGGTTCCCCCCTTAAATTGGAATTCGCTCATTTCTAAAGTTTTTTCACTGTTTTAATCTAATTAATCAAATTAATTGTATTAAAAATTTATTGTCCAACGATAAATATACTAATTTGTTTTTTTTTTATTGTTCTCTAAATAGACGAAAATTTTTGTAACAATTTGTCGCTTAGATTTCTGAGATACTAAATGAGTTTGAAATTCCTTTTCCGTGTATCCCGGTCATATTGACTTAATTCTTCTAAACGCCACTAACATTTCATTTTCTGCATCGCCGTCGTTTCCGAAGGCTTAAGAATCCATTATCGTCACTGTCACCGTTACAACAACCTTGTAGCCTATTTTCACCGGACGTTAAATGCATTTAAACATCGCCTGCGTGAATTCGCAAGTGTTTTTGTATAAAAGTGTGTTAATTCACTTTTCAAAGTGACTCACTCCTCCAAGTGAGTTAACTCACATTCGGTAATTTAGCAGAAAATGTTATGTTAACAGTCGTTGCTGTCACTACTAATGAAATCATTTCGGAAGTTTCGGTATTTTTCTTGCCAGAGTCCTGTATTTTCGGATTTAATGAGGGGTGAGATTTTTATTTTGCATGGTGAAATTTTGTCTGCAAAAATTATTTCTTTGCATTAGTTTTAACATAAATGCCTATATTAAGCAATTGGGCGAAGAAAATGTTTCCGCCTGTTTCAAAAAATAAGCCGAATTGTGTTCCATCAGCACAACGCCAGGCCACACACGTCGCACCAGAAGCTCGGATGAGAGGTCCTAATGCAGCCATCGAACATGGCACCAAGTGATTACCATCTTTTCCTGTCCATGGCGGACGCGCTTAATGGTGAGAGGTTGGCCTCAAGAGAGGAATCAATAAAAAACCGACAGAACCTTTTACTTCACCTAATATTAAGTAATTGGCAAAGAGAATGCTTCCTCCCTTTTCAAATAAAAACATCAAGAAACAAACATAAAGCAATTGTGGAATTTCAAACGTCTTCTCAATATAAAAATACGCGTGGCTGTGGCAGCTATCAGCTGATTTTACAAAATAAATAATTTGAGGGAACAAACAAGCAAATGTGAAAATGGAAACATGCCTAATCTGCACTTGCAAATCATAAGATGACATAAATAGCCAAATAAAATGAATGCGGTCTCTTGAATTCATGATTTCAATACTTTTGACAAATTTTGAAAACTGCAAATGTGAACAAAAATCAAATTGTACTGTATAAAAAACAATAATTTATTCTAATTCTATGTCTTCGTGACATCTAATTTCTCAGTGCAAGTTGGGTGGAGTGCCGGCGAAGGTTCCAATCCACTGCCACCATATTATCGTTTCACGAGTGCCTCTACAATTGTTGGAATCATTGATATTGTTGAGTTAAACTAAACAACATTAGATTTTACTACTTAGTTTGTTGGCATATAATTCATATTAAAGAAATAACATTTTTATTTTAGGTCAATTTTTGTTTTTCATACTTGCTAGTTTTTACTGGGTCAAATTCTCCCCGCATGAATTTGCTACTTTCTCTTAAAAATTGCGATCTCTTGCTATCAACGTACATATATATATATATGTACAATATATAATATAGTAAGTTACTTGTTAAGAGAAGTTAGCGTGGCATTTTTCGTTACGAAAAGTGAATGTGCCAAATCAAATGTACTAGAAAAACAATTGAAATATTGCCATAAAATGTGAAGAATATCTTCTAGAATAAGGAACAACAACATCGGTTTCATTAAAATTTCGAGCCCTTTTACCGAGCACACCAGTCGATCTGATATAACTCAAACAATTTTGAATATTTTCAATTGGCCCGTTCTTACACCTTTTTAATATTATTTCAAGGTGAATGACGTACGGAATTTTCGATAACTTAATTTAAACCATTGTTATATACATTTATACATTTTTTTTTGTTTGAAAAATTAATTTTTTCTCAAATTTTTGCAAATTCCACGTAAATCAATATATTTTAAAACCCGTACGTCATTCTATTCTAGCTATTCTCATGTAGATACACAAAAAAATCTTATTAATTTTATTAAGTAACCTACGAGGCCTTGTTGTTTGTATGAATTGAATATTTGTTATACAACAAAGAAAAAATGGTATTCCAAAAATGGCCATAGCTCCGCCATTTTTAAATAATTTTTTGTTGTAAATTAACGTTTTTCGATTTAAATATGAAACTAATAAGATATCAAAACGATATAATTGTTTTGCATTTCTTTCCCCATAAAAATATTCTTGAAAATTGGTCTTTTTGGCGTTTACAGTGTCCTTACCCTTTAATGTTCAATGTAATAATCGGATAGGGATATTAACATTTACTTCACCTTAATGAAATTATCAGCAAATCAGCCCATTTAGAAGTTATATTAAGCAAACTATGTCGAACTTGATCTAACTCATAAACGCAAAACGAGGTTTTGAACAGACTCAATTTTAAGGATATCACACTACCGAACCGTCCTTACCATTGCTTATCATAAGGGATAGGGGTTGTAAAATGCTGAAAATTCTTTTTGCGTAATTTATGGAAAGCCCCGCAGCAACAAAAATCGTGTATTTTTAAGCTCACAGGCACAACTAGACTTTCACTTAATTATTTGACTGCTGAATTTTTAAAATAATAAAAACCTTAAACAAATACAAAGTATGTTTTATCAATTTATCACATTTAGCACTCTCTGTTTTTGATGTGTTAACGAAAAGATCATCGCGACAGAGCTGCAAATGTAAAAAACTGCATCCAGCTGTTCTTTTTTATATTCACTCTGCATTGAAAATGTGACGAAAGCAAAGCAACAGCTGATTATCAAATTTTGTGGCAGTGAATAGCGATCTGCTTTAAGGCACAGTTTTAGGACTCCATCACTTTGGGTATATGTATATGTGGTTATTATCTCGAATCGTTAAACTTTTTAAAAAAATTTTGACAGTTTGAAAAAACGTAATAAAGAGTTTGAATTTCAAGTTATAAAACCAACATTTCACTTACAATATTCCAGTCCCAAAAGAGTATCCCGAAATACACTCCAAGCTTTTTCCTCTGTCAACGGTGAATCTGTGGGAATTGTGAGAACGCATCCTTGTTTTACCAGCTCAAATACCATATATAAAGAGTCTTCCATTGGGTCATCTAACACTTCGAACAACTTTACAACATTGGGATGATCCAGTTTCTTAAGGACAGCTATTTCTCGATACACTCTATCCAATGGTGAAATTGGCTTATCGGCACCTCTTTTTGTTAACCCGGCTTGTCGTATTAAGCGACGCTTCGAAAGAATTTTCATGGCGTAATGGGTAGAATCCTCCTCAGAGTATGCTAGTTTCACTAACCCATATGAACCCTAAAAGTAAAAAAAATAAAATATACAATTCATTGAAAGCAACACATACATATGTACATATATGTAAGTGCATACATACAAACGTATGTATGTACATAAGTAAATAAATTGTCGGATTACCTTATATGGCGTCTTTGCATTTTTTCCAATGTAGATATTAAAATATATACATATTGAATACCTTATTTTGTTATTGATCTACCTAAATAGACATCTGCTGTCGAAGAAGTAGCACCGCCCTCAAGACTTATAGAAAACAAAGTCACGACAACCGTTGACACCACCGAATCAACTTCATCTTATATGCAGTGGGCGAGATTTGATAATTATATCATAAAAAAGTAATTTTTTTTTTACTAAAAATTTAAACAAATTATATATTTCTGAACAGGTGACTCTGGATACCCACTGCAGCCATATTTGATGACACCGTTCCGTTTGCCCGGTGACGAAATCCAGAGGCGCTTAAATGACACGCATGCAAAAGCCAGGTATGTCATTGTACGCTGTTTCGGCGTTCTTTCTTTTAATCACCAGTTGCATTTCATTCAACTGAATCAAGATGTAATAAGTGAAACAGAAATTTAAGAGTCACACTCAATTGCAGCATCGTATATTTGCTTTCACTGGAAATTGCAGAAAATTTTGCAATAAACGTAATTTGATAGTTTAAATTTTAAGCACGGGAAAAAGCAAAACTACCATTCAAACAAATCTCATGATTTATTAATAGTTTTATTTTTTTTTAAAAATTTCAATTAAATTCTCAATTGCAGCAACCTATCTTGATGAAATTGCAGTAATTTCGCGTAAACTTTCCGCAATAGATCTTGCTGCCTCAGCCTGTATTACTGCAGCTTCAGCAAATTTTTTCGAAGACTCTGCTTGAATTTTATTTGCTTCATCCTGCTCTTTCGCTGATTTGGCAATTACATCTTGAAAACTACGTTTTCTACGATTTTGCAAAAGAGGCCTTGGTGGGGAATTTATAATGGAAGTGCTGTGTACTATCGGTGTTTCTGTTAGTAAAGGAGTTGTTATTGTTGATTGTAATTAATTTTTCCATTTCTGTTAATGCTGAGATGTTTTAATGAGCATCTCAAACTAGATGCTAGGTTATTTCAAATCAAGCATTGATTGAATAAGTTAATATTATCTTTTTTTTTAGATGACTGGACTAATTTGAATTTTTAACGAAATAGCTTTAGTTTGAGTTTTACATGTCTCTTCGATGGTTTGCATAATATTCGTAATAGAGAATGTACGTTTCAATAAAATAACACGTAAAAATCAGCTGTTATCGTTTGGCTTTATGTTCGAAATACGTAATACAAATATGCGAACGGTTCTTTTCTAACACGAAACGAACGTTCGCTTCGCAATACAAAATAAGGCTGTTAGATTGAATGAGGCGTCGAGTTGTTTCAACACTTGGATGTGATAAAGAATGAATTTTTTCAAAAATAATTTTTCTTATTGAATTAGGAACATATGGTCTAAAAGGTGTTTATGCAACACCACAGAAAATATTAACATTATTTATAGTTATTTTAATTATTTTAAATTACTATTAGCATTTGGATCTGAAATAATATTTTGAAGTATTTCATCTTTTTGTTGTTCTTCATAAAGATATTGTCTTTTGTTGCAATTGAATTCATTTATGGAATACGAGAAAGAGTATCGGTAATTTTATTATATTTACCACAAATGTGTCTAACGTCATGAGTAAGTTGTGCAATATAATACTTTGGTATTAAAATTTAGCATTAAGTAAATTTTGTTACTATTTCGTATTCTGAGCTCATTATCATCCTGTAAATTTTGTTACCAGCAAAATAGGAGGTAGGAGAAAAAATAAAAACCAAAATGGGTAGCCACATTTTTGGCCTGGAATGCAATGAAGATGAAAAAGAAAGTGTAAAAAGGCGCATGCCAAGAAGTTTGCGAGAAAAAAAATGGCCCTTTTCATTCAGCTTTTTTTTTGTAGTTTATGCATATTTTCCAAAAGTAGGCTCAAATATTTATGATTTAATAAACAAATAAATAAAACTTATTTATTTTGTTGTGCTCCATCTTCCGTTTCGATGTGAATATTCTTCGTTTTTACTTTACCAGCTGACAAATGTAATTTGACAAGGAAGAAAAAAGCAGCGCTGCCAAAGTTTTTTCAAACATTGTAGCCGGTTCGCGAGAATACCAAAATCAAATTCGGTTTTGAATATGGTACAACTGAAACGATTGCGCCTCTATCAATCAAAAAATTTAATTTGTTAAATTTATCGTGACGACGTGTAAGTTTATTAATATTTCCATTATCAGCCACCAAAATAATGGGTATAGATCTTATTTGTAATACAATAATCTCTGCTGTAATTTTGTTTAAAGTTTAATACATTGTTCTAAAATATTTTATTATTAAAAGTTGAAGCAATTACAGATACTTGAAGTTTATTAATTTTATCAACCAAAATAACAATCTCATCTCTATTTTGATTACTAAAAGAAGTTAAATGAATTTGAATTTGTTGAAGTAGTTTATGAATCCATAATTTAAAAAGTAATTCGTGACTAACAATTAAATCTTAACCAATATACCGATTTCATATATCTAAAAGCTCTGAAGTTGAACGATCACCAAGCTCAGTATTAGAAAATAATTGTTCCAATCTCTTTTCTTCATTAATAGAAAATCTCTCATAAAGAACTTTCTTAATTTTTTCGTAGCTATTCGAAAACGGAGGTGGATTAATAATAATCTACAATTTTTGAAGTAGTTACTCGTTGAAGGGAAATCAAAATATTTTGAAAATCAACATTTCCATTATAAATGTTATTAATATCAAATCGTCCTTCAACAAGCAAAAACCATACTTCAGGACACTCATACCAACAACTCCGGGAGTTAACCCGGATTTTATCCGGCCAAGGGCTGTCACTCTTTCGTCGAGCTAACCCTGTTTAGGTCAACAAGTAACATTAATTTAAGTTCGGCAAAGCAGCAACACCTAGCAGCTGGGTTGCTCCAAATCCCTCTTATCAGGGCTGGCGTTGAAGACCGCTGCCGACCGCTTTATCTCGGTAGGTCGAATCGCGGAAAACCGCCTAAGTTTTCCGACAGAAGCGGCGATATTAGCATCTAGGCACGACACCCTTCGAGACTCCGACACCGGGAGCATGGTTTTTTTTTTTAGCCCAAACACATATCTCACAATGTTGTTGTAGACAACATTTAATAATGAATGAATTTCGCGGAGCGTAAGTATGAGGTGCGACTTAACTAGGAGTAATATCATATTTATGAATTAAAGTACTGCGTTAACCACAGCGAGCAAATCATTCTGTACACTTTCTCCACCACATTAAAGATATGATTTTTCTAATTAATGTTTTATTAAATATAACCATAAGATTTTTGGTCATGTCTATAAATTTTATCACAGCTTTATCCAGCATACTTCGTTTAATGCGCTTATATCGAAAGCTTTTTTACAGTTTACGATACGGTTTAGATAGAGGGTGATTGATTATAAATCAGCGTTCAACTATACACCCCTGTATTTAAATCGCTGAAATTGGACGACTGTGTTATTGAATTCATTCGTAGATAATAAAATTAAATTAAAATGTGAAAGCTGCGAAAGGACATATCAACTTAAGTTATTTTAGAAATACTTTTGCTGAGAAAGTCAGTTATTAAGTTGAATGATTAATTTTTTGTGAACTTTTCAGCCAAATGGAATTGTCCAAAATATCCTAGGACGGAAATACATCCAAAACCGGGATTTAGACCGGAACAATATGATTCGATTTAATTAAATAATTGAGTTAAATTAATTTACTTATTTGCTTTTAAGGCCATTATTAAAAACGCATATAAAGTATGTTATGATTGTTAGGTTATAAAATATATTTTTAGACGCATGCTAATAAATTTATGGATTTTTACCTGGCCAATTTGATCCATTAGTTTGTATTGATTTAATTGCAAAAAACTGCCAGATTGTTCCATTGATACGCGACGAGATTCTCGTAATGGTGGTCTCCGACGATTACTTCTGGGACTGCAATATGGATTTGCATACGAGGCGTATGGCACATTTGGATGATTTGGGTGCGGTTCAAGACACTGAATTTTCGATGTAATATGGTTTTTCGAAGGCTGTGGTAGACGTATATCTGAGCTTGGTGTAGAATTAGCCATTCCTGGGTCAGTTGTAACACTCGACTGTGGTAAACTCCTATTAAAATGTGAATCTAAAAATAATAATAAAAAGTCTGAAAATCTTCGTTGAATAAGTAAGTAAGACTAAATTCCTTTGAGCATTATATACCTGGCTATTAGTTGAATTAAAAACCATAAGTCGAAGATAAAAATACTACATTCATCGAGATTGTTTATAAAGTAAAATAAAATTATAAACTATTTTTTATTTTGGTTTAAAAATACTGGCTTTAACATTACAACATATGAACATCTTAAAGTGCTCTAAAATTTGAGCTTTATGGATAGTGTGTATGTATATATTTTAAAGATTTAAAAAAATAGTTTTAAGATATTCCCCAAGATATTTCCGTTTAAAATATCATAATGTGCCGCTCGAAAATTAATATATTTGGTCATTCATAAACCTTTTGATTTCATTTCGAATTTCCAAACTTTCTTATTTTCAGAGGGACTTGAGTTGAAAATGGAAATGCTGACCAAAAGGGATAAGAAGCTTATGACTTATTATTAACTTATTGGTTACGAATTAAATCTGAAACTTTGCCTTTTCATTGACGACCAACAACCCAACGAAGCTTGAAAACAGAATTTAAGTATGAGCTTTTCAATAATAATAAAAACAAAAAAGGTTTGTATACTTCTTTACTTTACTATTAATAAAGTAAAAAATTGTTGTATGTACATACATACTCGTATAGTATGTGCAACAAAGGAATGTAAAAGAATTTGAATGAGGAGACATTTCCCATTGTTCTGTACCCTCTTTAATATTCGGTTTGAAACCCACAAATCGGTTAAAAGGTCTATTATATACAGTTTGTTTGCTGATCTGTGTCAGCAATTTTTCATATTTACATACATACATAGGTATTCGGCTATGCCAAATTTGTTTGAACTTTTCTTTTTGCTTACAAAGAGTTGTGCAAATGAATATTTTAACATATTTACATTCAACAAATATAAACAATTTTTTTCATAAAAATTGTCTGTTCTTAATGAAAATTTTTTAATAACATAAAATACTTTTCTGAATAAGTGGTGCTGAGGCGCCTAAACTATCGGCTTTTCAAAGTTCCTTCATTTGATTTTATTCCCAGGCCAGAAAAAAAATCAAGGAACGCATATATATCTGCACTTTATGAGAGTTTCGTATCATGTTTAGTTGTTGTTGTCTTAACCTTAAAATATTCACCGAATTGGGTATCGGGGAAGACTGGGGGTTTGACAGTCCTTGGAATAAAAATTATATTTAATTAATGTGAATATACTTTTTACAAGGAACTTTGTTTAAAATATATTTTGCACTTGAGAGCTGTTATCCCATCATGATATTAAACAAATTTTACGAAATAAATGAGTTATCTGAAATAAATGTTCGTGCAATAACGCGTGCTTCTAAAAACTCAAACATATTGTTCAGTATGAGAATGAACAGCTTCTCACATTTTAGAGTATATTCAACTCTATATCTATATCTACATATATTGTATATCTCTGCATGACACTAACATAACACTACATCCACATAACGGTTCTTTCGTTCATAAATTACAGTTTCTGAAGTATTGCGAGTAACATACATACATATATATATAGAATATGATTATCTAGTATGTTAGAAAGAGATGCGCGTATGCAAATTTGAGGTAAGACTCCTTTAACTGTTTATTGCAGAAGACTCGCATCTGCTCTGATTGATCAACAATTCATTCAAGAAACCCTTCAGCAGATAGCCCAAGTGAGCTTTGCAGCAAATATAAAATATAAAATAGCTACGACCAAAGATGTGTAAACCGAATTTCGATAATGAGAAACACTTGGCGGTAGCTTCAAAAGTGTAAATAAGAGTGCTTGTAAAATATAGTAATTAAGCATTTATGAGTCATACGTACATATGTATATGCATGGTACCAAATGGCAATGACTTTTAAAAGAAAGTTTATTTAATTATCTTTTAGTTTCATTAAATTTATTTTGAAAAAATTAAATTTTTATTGCCAAAATTTTTAACTTTTGTATTGCATGTGCCAGTCACACATATATGCAGCTGTAGAAAAAGCAATGTTGTTTAAACATTTAATTGGTTAAAACGAATGTTAAAAGAAAGTTTATTTAATTATCTTTTAGTCTAATCAAATTTATTTAAATAATAATTGTTTTTTTCATAGTGAAATTTTTAACCTTTTGTTGTGCATGTGCCAGGCATACATATGTATATACAAACAGCAAAGCTCTTTAATTATATTTTATTTCATATAAATTTAATAAAAAAAAACTTTTTTATGAAAATTTTACACTTTTGTTATGCATGTACTAGGTGTAATTGGGGCTCATCAAAATGAATAGCAAGAGGAAATTAATTTTATTAAACTTATGTCCGAAATATTTAAGAAAAAATGTTTTATATATTATATATTATATTCACAATAATTATTCTGTTTGTGTATTTCAGATTCCACTGGTATACTTCTTCTTTACGTGCGTAGATTTCTGTCACAGTTTTAACCAAGTTAGCAACACCGCCGGCTTGGCCACATGATATTTCTGGCGGAGTGGAGGTCTTCCTCAAAAGCGGCTGTCTCAATATTTTAATTACTCTAAAACTTATTTTTAGTTAATTGAAATTTTAGTGCTATTGTCTATTAAGTATTACAAATTGATGTACAATTAATTTTCTTGAGCAAATTTATGTATACATAAAAATAATTTTGATTAACAACTTTCATTTAATTATTTGATATTGATTTTTTATTATTTATATTTTAAATAAAAAAACAAACTTAAAAATTTTTATTTTCAATAACAAAGGAAAAATGCGTAAAAGGTCAATAGCCTTTGGGAAACAAATCGTTAATTTGTTAATTTGTTTTCAATAAGTAGTCGGGTAACAAAGACATATGTTTTCAAGAGCTTACTGGTAACACGTCTGATAACAAGGTTATTTGTTTTGAATAAATCACATTTGTTTTCAACAAATAGTTGCTAACAGATCAAGTAACATAAGAGCTTGTTTTGATTAACAGATCCGGTAACAAAAACATTCCAAAATTGAAAAAGACGAATATATATCGCATGCCGATAAAAACAATGCGACTGAGTGATAAAGAAAATTACACGTACGTGAAACAAAGCGGGAAAAACTGTTATTCTTTTCACACATTTAGAAGAAAAGTAACGACCAATATCCAAAAGTTATAGAAAATTAACTTAAAATATAAAATAAAGCTAAATTTCCTAAATGCGGTCGCCCATTAGCAGGGTAATTTTGATATTATGATCGTACATGATATTAAGGTTCCTCATAAAAAAAACCATCAGCCGTTTGGAGGCGGCTTAGTGTAAACTGTAGGTCCCTCCATTTGTTGGAAAAAAATAAAGATACAAACCACATATTGGAGGAAGAGCTTCGACAAAAATCTCGGCCACAAATCGCCAAATATATAAAATAATTATATATAACAACATTGCGCCATTATTTTCTTCTATTTGCTATTTGGCGCCAATTGGAAAAACCAAGTACAGTGAGGTTCTTCTCTAAGTGGAGAACTTCCTCTTCCTTTGCTTTCACCAGAGGGTACTGCATCGAAAACTTTCAAAGCTAGAGTATTCGCCATCCGGACCACATCACCTAGCCAGCCTTGCCGCTGCTTCTTTATTCGATGAACTTTATCAATGTCGCCGTAAATCACTCTGTCTGATACCTCGTTTGGTATCGAACGGCTCGGAGAGATCCTTTTAGTGTTGCTTAACGTCAATTTACAAAGCCGTATATGTTTTGCGGGGATACCAAATTCAGACAGAGCGGCGTAAAGGCATCTCCTATTAATGCGGTTAAAGGCACAAAGAGGCGATGGGTTTCGATCCTCTTTTCACGGGTATTTTCCAAGATTTGGGGCATGGTGAATATTTGATCTGGTCAACGGCTTACCAGGTCTGAAGCCACACTAATAAGGTTCAATCAGTTTGTTGCCGGTGGGCTTCAGTCCCTCACACAATACGCTCTACAAGACCTTATAGGCGATATTAATGAGGCTTATCCCACAGTAATTAGCACAGACTGTGGGGTCAACTTTTTGATGGATCGGGTAAAACACAATTAAATTCCAATCGTTGGACATGCTTTCGTCCGCCCATATTCTGCAAAAGAGCTAATGCATGCACCCTGTCAGCTCTTCATCGCCATAATTCTGCTGTTAGGTCGTCAGCTCTCGCCGCGTCCTTTCACGGAAGCACATATACTCTGTTAAGGTTCAGACTATGTGCGATTATAGACTGCAAATATGACATTTGATGTTAGGCTATCCAGGCAGCGTGCACGATGCATATATGTATAATAACTGCGAATTATCGAATGTAGTTGATACATTTTTTAGTGGTGCTGAATGGATCACATTTAGAGAAAATTCTAGAGAACTAATACAGGGTCAAAGAGCATTTTTCAACAAAGCATTCAGTAGCTATAGGATTAGAATTGAACACAGTCTTTGCATGTTAAGAGAAAGGTTTGCCAGCTAAAAAAGCTTAACACTACAAATTAAAGATGAAAATGGAATGAAAAAAGTGAACAAATGGATCTTCTGTTGCTCGTGGTTACACAACTTTATACTGCAACAAGATGATCAGTTCGATTAACAACTTGAGGAATCAGTGCACGATATCGGCGAGTCATTACCAAGTGACCGAAATGAAATGTTAAATTATACAAACAATCAATAAATACATTTGCATAGACAACTCAATTTTTTATTTAATTTGAAGAAATATAATTATTTATAACAAATTTCCATAAATGCCATTGAAATAGTCTCGTAATAGTAGTATTGAAGAATTGATTTCCGGCATTGCCAGTTTGCTAAGTTTGCAGCAAATGCTATAAGTCTGCGACTTTAAATAAGTATCACTAATATATAACCATATAAGTGAAATCAAAATAAATTTTAAAAATTCTTTAATCTATGGAAAAAAATAACTATAAAGTAAATAGAAATTAAATAGAAGTTTTTATATAGAGAATACTACTTTTAAAGTAGAGAGTTTTACAAAAAAGCAGATAATATATATATTGTATATAAAAGTAAATGTAAAAGAAAAATAATAAAAAAACAAGTTATCTAATGTGCTGTATATAATTTCAATTTGGGATTATGCAACTATGGTGTCACTTTTCGCGGTTATCAAAACTAACAGACAAAAATTATTTAATCTAGAATTTTACGGTTATAACGAAATACTAACCTTTTGAAGAAACCGAAAGATTCACTGCTGATTTGTTATTTAGCTTTATTTCATAAATGACACCACCAGACCCAGCTAAGCAAATTCAATAAGGAATATTTCTACAAATAATTTAAAATAATAAAAAATAACTAATAACAGTAAAAAATAACAATTACTAAAAGTATCAAAAGAAAATAAAACATAAAAATTAAAAACTTATAATTACTTGGTATAAAAAAATATGATAAACAATGAAGACTTATAACTAATTAAACAGCGAAAATCATAGAAGGTTAAGATAACTAATAAAAAGTTGAAGTAAATTCAAAATTAAAATGAATCAAAATTGCGGTCGCGGCTAGCATCGCTTTCGTTTTCGAATTGTATTTAAATATTCGTACATAAAATGTACAAAGAAGGAATTTCCATACTTCCAATACTCTCCTTAAAACATCGGTACAATGTTGCTGTGTTTGTAAACGATTTATTAGTAAGCCAAATTGAGGTTTCACATTTTCGTTTTTTATATTTCATATACTTAATATGAACTTCTATCGAAAATTTTGAATTTTATAAGTATATTTTTTATTATCGGCTGGTGTGAAATCGATAATTATACCAATAATTTCACCATGCGAAAATCTATATGAATACACTTTCAGCGATATACAAGCCCTTAAAGTTTTCTAAAAATAAAAGGTATGACATTTTATATTTAGATTCATAAACTACAAGCAACTTCGTTGAAAGCAATATATCAAAGCTAGGAAGTGAAAAAAAGAAATTATACACAAAATGAAAAATAGATTTTCAAAGGAGCTAATCTTAACAATTGCGATTTTACAATTCGTAACACCTATAAAATTAAGTCAACAATATTCCGAAGGCGAAAATTTTTCGATCACAGATAGGCATAAAATACCCGACGATAATATTTCATATATGTTTTACAAATCAGCACAGGATGCAAATGAAGCTAAAAACAAACTACAGAATGTATTACGAAATTTCGTAGAAATTGTGCAAAAAAACTTAACAACTTCAGTTATCTTAAAATCTTTCTACAATGAATTACATGTAGAGAGGTCACAGCAAAAATTTCAGAAATTGTCTGACCATACAGAGTTTTTTAAAATTGTTTCGCATGATTTAAAAGAGTTCTCGCTAAAGTCCGAAATATTTTTGCAAACAAGCAAGAATGAAAGCAACGCATTTTTAATGAAACTTCGACGCATCCCTACAAGACAAAGAACATTATCGTCCCATGATAAGTTACAGTTAACCAATTACTTTGCGGAAATGGAATTTTTTAATATTATGTTGTTTGAAATAATTGATGAAGGGTTGGAATATATAACCAATGCTTTAAATATAATACGAATGATATTTGATAAATATACAGACATCCAGCAACAAAATTTACAATATCAGAATTTTATATTTGATAACTGGTGTTACAATAGATATTTTGAATTTTTGCAAAAATGGTCTATTCAGATATATACCTGTGCCACGAATTCAAGATTGGAAGCAGTGTACAATGTGTTTGCTATGACAGAAATTGCTATTAAACATATTATAAGACAACAGGAATTTAAAGTGCAGCGTATATTTAATTGTTTCCTTTTCCCCGGGTGCAATATTAAGTGTAATTTTTTACGTTACGCCGAGAATGATTTTCAAGAGTTGTTCACTATTGTACAAGACTTACAAACATATTACGATATACAAATAAATCGTGGACGAGTAAAATCAAGAAGAATTGAACGAAGTGAGGAAATTTTACATTTAAATGATTTAGAAGTTATTGACTCAACGGAACAATGCATTCCTTATGGTTTTCCGGAAAATTATATGTTAAGTAATCTGAAATTGTGCTTCAATATTTATTAAAAAAAAATAATTGATAGAAAGTAACTTTATAATTTTTACAATAATTTGGTACAACTAAGTTAAATTATTAAAACTGTCGCCAAACTAAATTCAAAAGCGATGTTTCTAGTTTAATTTTTTAGGCTAATTAAGCCCAACAGGTCCAACTCCTGAAAATATTCAACACACTCTTTTGAATTTGGCTGGTGAGTTAGTAACTATTATATAAATACTTGTACATATTTAATTCTAAATCAACTAATCAATGAAATATTTCTTTTCTTTGTAAAAACTCGTTAATGTTAAACAAATATAATTCAGGTTGATTAAAAAGTATTAAACCAGTGGACTTTTGTTTCAAAAGTGTCAACATTTGAAAGTAAATAAGTAAATTTCAAATTAAAAACAAGAATCAGTTTAAATCCTTCATGTAAATATATAAACCATACAAATTTATCATGTGTCTTTCCTATTTTTCTTTGGCGTAGGTAATATTTCGCGAATGTGACTGGGTCAACTATATCAATTTAAGTGCAGCTAGAAGGGGTGGTATCCAGCGCAGCTGCTGCCATCTACGAGGTGTGACAATAAAGTAATGAAACTAGTCCCCTTGGGCAGCTACACAATGATTCCAGAGTGTTTTCCATGCTTCGTAACATTTCTGGAACGCATCGACTGCTGCTTGGATGTCCTCAATCGTCTCAAAATGGGTTCCTTTGGCCACCAATTTTGTTCTAGAGAACAAAATAAAAGTCACAGGGTGACTTATCGGGCGAATAAGGCGGTTGTTGCAACACGGCCAAATACTGAGACAGTTACGAGCGATGTCTGGGAGCACCCTGTTGACTCGTTTTCGCAATCTTTCGAGCACTTGGCGACAGTAGTCTTGATTTACGGTTTTCCCCGGTGAAGAAATTCACGCATTCGTGTCAGTTCGCACCTCGACTGGATTCCCGCTCCGCGACTCGTCCTCCACGCTTCCATGCCCCTCCTGCAACTCTTTATGCCATCGAAGCACATGGGCACGACTTAAAGCACTATCACCATGCACTTTTATATTTTTAGCGCACGTTTCCGAAGCTGTTTCACCCAATTTGGCGCAAAATTGTATCGCGGCGCGTTGCTCTTGATTTCGTTTTACGATTTTCGTATAACGATTTTCGGATCGCCAATTAGACTTAGCGATATTTTTAACGATATTCGCTATTCTCTAAGAATAGTACAAAGATTTTCGGATCGCAAAGAAGACTTAGCGATAATTCTAACGATTTTAATATTCGGTGTACTTGTTTTAACGATATTCGCTCTCGCTGTTGTCGTAAACTACTCGAAAAATCGCTAACTAAGCGACGAATATTTTTAAGTTGTTAGCGATATCGACAAAATTTTGTTACTTCATATAAGAGAGTAAAGTGTCTAAGTAATACAAAAATAAGAATAAAATAATAAAAAAATGGCTTTCGAATATTTGGCATACGATTTGTCACAAGATGGAGAGGTATCCTACCCTTCATCATTGGATAGAAGTTTGCGTCGAGAAGCAGAAGATCCTTTTCATTTGGATGCTACCGAGTTTCGCCGGATTTAATTGAAAAAATCGTTTCTGAACTATATTGTCAACTAAAAGGAAGAAGAATAACAGCATTGTCTACAGAGAAACAGGTAATAATATATTTTTTCAATATTTTTTTTAGTCTTAACACTATTAAAACGTTTAAAGGTTCTAACCGCCTCGCGATTTTTTGCAATGGGAATGTCCATGAGTCAGTCGTCAGTAAGCTGTTCTATTCATCGCGTAACAGACGCAATTCGAGGTTTTCTGTTAGTTTTCCATATTTTTGCTTCGTCGTCGTCACCATTTGTTGGCGGCACTATTGAAGCTATCGATTGCACATGAGTCCCAAAAATCATGAAGAAGCGTATACAAACCACCATGGATACCATTCCATCAATGTGCAAATGGTGAGAGTAAATTTGTTTCCGATTACTATTGTAGTAAAAGTTAATTATATTTTCACATAGATATGTGGTCCTTATCGCAAGATTATACTGGCAAATGCCAAGTACCCAAGAGCGCGGCACAATTATTTTATTTGGAGCTCCCCTATAGAGCGAAGAGTCATGCATGACAGTGCAAACCATAACATGCTTTTGAAAAACTTTGTAATGCATTGATATTCTTTTAATAAAAATAATTTCAATAACAAATTTATTTCCTCTTTGTGCTTTTTGTACATTTTGACGTTTCGTTGAGCTGTGGTGCCACCTTTCCTACATTTTAATAAAATGGAAATGTGCGATGTCGATTATCGTAACAACTGCGTTAGAGAATCACATAATCGTTAGCGCAAGCGACAAAATTCGTAACTTTGCGATCCGACAAATCGTGTCGATAAAAGTTACAGAATTGCACTGCTGATGTGCAAAACGCACCAGTGCCACTATGCCAATAAAAAAATCCATTGTTTTTGTTTCAAAAGAAATTTGCTTCAGCAGTAAATATTAAAGAAATTATTGTAATTTTATTATTAAAACTTAATATAATTAAATAATGAATTGTTTCTCAATAAAATATTTTAGTGAAATTGCAATTAAAGACGTCGTTGTTTGTAATAAAATACCCAAAAGATACCTAAAAATCCAAAGAAGTAATTTATCTATCACAGTGGCACTGTTCAGAAATGTTATAAAAAATGCGGATTTTTGAGCGCTCTCACGGAATAAAGAGTTTCGTATCTAGTCATCATTGGTCAAACTAAACAAGCTACAGCGATGGCAAATATATCAATAGAGAGGAGAAGGATGCCGGAAAAAGGGAGTTTTAAGGTCACAGTGATGCCACAGTGAATGTTTCAGCATAAAATTTAGTGCAACTTTTACTAGGGTCAAAATATTTTCTTAAACTGCAACAAAACAGATTTAACATAAAATCTTCAAATACGGCTTAAGATGTTATGACAAAAGGACACAGATACTCGTTCATATATATATGTGTACAAATATCATACATACCTGGCGGTTTTGACATTCTTTATGTCTGCTATACGATTCCTGCTAACACATATAATAAGTGTTTGGCTTATGGTTCTGAAAAAAAAAAGAAATTAGTAAATAAAAACATTTTAATACAATTAATAAAGTTCGATGGCGTAGATGCTGGACCTATCCGCGGCACGCCAATTAAGTTATTCACTCTCACAATCTGAATAAATGCCGAATTATTTAATTCGACACTAATATCATATCATATCCCAGACAACCAACATAAAAACGAAGGCGAAATTATAGAAGACTTTGCTCGCGGTAGTCGAGTGGTTAGCATTGCATACTGCCATTCGGAAGGCTCGCGTTCAAATCCTGGTGTCGTACTAACATCCAAAAACTTATAGAAAATGAATTTAAATAAAAAAAATTAGTCAAAATTTCTAATTGCTGTCGCTCCTCGGCAGGGAATGTCAACCCTACGAGTGTATATCTGGCATAACATAAAGCTCCTCATAAAAAATAATCAGCCGTTCGAAAACGGCTTAGTACAAACTTTGTTCGGAGGAGGAGCGTGGCCGAAAATACCTACAGCGGTTACGAAGCGCCAATTATATATATAAGGACTATTTGTTTATCCTTCTGTTCCAAAATCGACCTTTTAAGACAAGTTTTGCTGTAACTGGATGAAAACAGGTTTAAGCAAATGGTGCGAGTCAGCCGAACAATGTTTGATGTTATCGTTAATCTAATAAAATATTATGAAGTGTTCAATGGGCTGCGTTCGGGGAAGCAATATCCGAATGCAAATTAAAAAGGTTCTTTACCAACTGGGTTCATGTGGCGAAGGAACAACCTTTTCTAAAATCGAAAATTTGTTATCATTGTTATTTGGTATCTGCATAGGAGATGTAATAAAAGTGAGCTTTTCCATTAAATTGTGCAGCTATGCTTGATTTTATAATTTTCCATAACATAGTTCATAGCCAATGAAGTATTTTTTGCAATTCCGAAGCTAATAAAAATATTTATGAGCTGACCAGATGCATCAGAGCGCAGAACTTTAGTATCTAAAACACTCAATGAGCTGCCACATTGTGTTGGCTATGTTGACAGCACTGAAATACAATTGACTAAAAAACATATTCAATACCCAGAAGCACATTTTTTCCGAAAACATTTATGTATACTCACTAAAAGCCCAATCAGGAGTGTTATAGAAACCGACACAAAATTGCTAATTGAATTCGGAATTGAAAATCAATATATGTTTGAAATGGAGTTATGAAACCGAATTGATTTTGCTTGTTCAAAAGCCCACCAATTCAACTCTATTTTAGTACTGATTTTAACAAATTAACATGCATTTGCAGTGAAAGCTTTTTTTGATGATAGAAGGAGCTAGAATAAGAGCTATCCGCTCAATGAGTCGATGCAAATTAAATTTGCATTCTGCCTTAACATTTACTGAAACAAAATTTGTTTGTATGTAGATTCCTAAACCAATATCGTTTTAACAATAAAGCCTTTGTAATAGTGCTCGTGAACATTTTTACACCAAGTACCGTATTCCAGGCACTGCGGGTTGTAAAATCCTTTGTTCATGACCTACAGTTTTATGAAATTTCATCAACGAATAACTGCTCGATTTAATTCAAGACACTTAAACCGATAAATCGGTTTCTGTAACACCTAATAGCGACAAAAATTCTGTTTCGAAAATGAAACCGATAAGCCAATCAATAATCAGAATGTGTAGCCCCTTCAGCAGAATTTTGTCAGTTTCAATTTTGATTCTGGCAACAATCTTTTTCCGTAACACCCCTGAATGTTGTATGTTGTTGGATATAATAATAATAAGTTGCTTACTAAAGCTCCCGAGCTACTGACAGGAGCAGAGCGGTAGGCAGATGACAGTGCTTATGAATCTTATAACTCCATTTAGAACAAATGCAACAAAAGATACTTTGCACTCACACCCTCGTAAACCCACGCACATTGCCTGCACAACGAAATTGCGACATAAACTTATCCGGTGTGTCAAAATTTTTATGAAAATTCATTTTCACTAAGGTAAACTTATACGGTTTACGAGGCTTACCAAGCTTTTACATGTTTAGACGAATACCCTTACTATATCAATATACAAAAGAAAATGAAAAAATTATAAATAATTGAAGAAACTATTTTGACCAGGCGGATATTAAACTTGTTATTTGAATGGATTTTTTTTTGTCGGATTCCACATTCTGACACTCATATAACCAATTCAATTCAATATTTTATAAATTTTTACTAAGAACTTCAACTTTCAACGCTCTTTCAAAATAAACAAAAATATTAGGTTAGTGAAACAGAGAACTGTCAAGTTGTATGCCGTGTGAACGGAGTAATTTGCGATGGTAATTGTATGGTCCATTCCACAATAACGAATGGAATTTTCAATATTGACAGCGCGCTTTATGATGAAGGTGATGGTAGGTGTGATGGATGAAGTACGAAGAAAACATTGAAAAAGAGGAAGAGACAAATCGGATAAAAAATTAGCAAACAAATTTTATTTTGCACAAAAGATGCCAGATATTCATTGAAAAATTAATTCAACTGGTGGAGGCATACCAATTCCGGTCGATAGAATTTACTGATTCTTGGCGCTTTGAATCCGCTGAATCGATTTTCGGCCGAGCTCCCCCAATTTGTGGTTTTACCGCTTCATTTTTTTCTAACAAACTGAGGGACCTACATTTAATTCAGAGCCGCCTCCGAACGGCTGATATTTTTTTATGAAGTGCTCTTATTTCATTCCAGAAATACACTCGGAGGGCTTGACATTCCCTGCCGAGGGACGACCGCAATTTAACTTAATTTTTTATTCAAATTATTTTTCAATAACTTTTTGATGTTGGTCGTACCTGGATTTGAACCAGGACATTCCGGAGGGCAATACACAATGCTAAGCACTCGGCTACCGCGGCCGCCATGGTTGAAATATATGCGCCTAATTCACGAAGTGTTGCGAAAAATGATTGAAGAATTCTGCACAGAACGCTCCAATTTGGCACGACAGTAAAATGTTTTCAATTTATTTAGCGGAGTTGTTAAAATTTTCACATCGCAGGATAAAGTTTTGTAGAAATTGTATGCAGCATACATATTGGCTTTGTCAAAGGCATTAATGTATGTAGGTGTAAAACTCAGTGGACATCTGATTATTTTTAAATGGAAGTCAATAAAATATTGAAATTATCTGTATTATTTCTAAGCAAAAACTAGGCAACACTTTATAAGACATGTAAGGCGTAGCCGGTATTGAAAAATTATATAATGAAAAATGGTCTGGTATTTAGAAAAACAATAAATGCATTGCAATTACAGTGGCTCAATAAAAAACTCGGACATACATTCCACTGTTATTTTTTATTATTTTATTATTTTTTTAATCAATTGATAATAAACATTTTTGGTTTTTATATTTCTATAGGGTATCCAACAATGATGACTAGATACGAAACTCTTTATTCCGTGAGAGCGCTCAAAAATCCGCATTTTTTATAACATTTCTGAACAGTGCCACTGTGATGGAAAAACGACTTATTTGGATTTTTAGGTATATTTTGGGTATTTTATTACAAACAACGACGTCTTTAATTGCAATTTCACTGAAAAATTTCATTGAGAAACAATTCAGTATTTAATTATATTAAGTTTTAGTAATAAAATTACAATAATTTCTTTAATATTTACTGCTGAAGCAAATTTCTTTTGAAAATTACAATAATTTCTTTAATATTTACTGCTGAAGCAAATTTCTTTTGAAACAAAAACAATGGATTTTTTTTATTGGCATAGTGGCACTGGTGCTTTTTGCACATCAGATGTTGAATGTTCCCCGATCTGACACTGCTGCCAACATTAGAATGTGAGATGGGGGAACGCTCTCAGCTGCGATTTGAGTAAGTTTCGTATCTAGTCATCTTTGGTATCCAATAAGGATTTAAAACACACCAATAACAAACAAATAAAATAGTTTACAGATCATCAAAAAATCAGCATGTGGCATGCTGGAAATTTCGCCAAAAAAGAAGTCGGACATCTGGTAATATTATAGGTTCATGGCATTTTAAAAAGGGTAATCCCACAACTATTTTGTTTTCGTTTAAAAATACATATGTATATAATCAAACGTAATAGCTTTGAATAAAATTTCAGTAGTTTTTTTTTTGGAAAAAAGGCGAAAAGTTCAAACATGGCCAGATAGCGTGGACAAAGCTCAAATGAAGTAAGGAAGTTAATTATTAGTAATTTTGAAATGGGAAAAACCATTCGGGAAATCGCAGAAATTGTGAGCAGACCCCGCTCGACTGCCCATGCCGTGATTAAACGATTCAAACAAACAAAATCCGTGGAAAACAAAAAGAAGTCTGGACGACCGAAGTTGTTTTCGGCTGCAGATGAGCGGTGGATAGTGGCAAATCAAAAAAAATTCAAACATGAGCGCTCCCAAGCTCTCAACAGCAGTTTTGCAACATCTCAATATAAATTGTAATCTGGAGAGTATCCGAATAGTCTTACGAAAAAATAATTATAATGGAAGAGTAGCACGGAAGAAACCATTTATAAACGAGGTTAACCGAAACAAAAGAATAAAATTTGCAAAATGTCATGGGGATATGGATTTTCAATTCTGGAAACAAGTTTTATTTGCAGATGAAAGCAAATTTAATATATTTAGGTCAGATGGACAGTCGTATGCTTGGAGAAAACCGAATCAGGAGTTGTTAGAAAAGAATTTACCTCTGACTGTTAAACACAGGCGCGGCTAAGTAATGGTATGGGGTTGTATGACCGCAGCTGGTGCTGGAAATTTGTGTTTCATAAATCGTAATATGGACCACAGGCAATATCTGACCATTCTAAAAGAAAATTTAGTGCAAAGTGCGGAAAAGTTGGGAATTCAAGACAATTTCCAGTACTACCAAGACAACGATCCCAAGCATAAAGCACTTGATGTCCTTCTATGGCTGATGTATAACTCCCGGCATTTACGTAATTGAACATCTGTGGGCTCATTTGGAAGATAAACTGAAAATGCATGTTATGAAACA